CTAGTCTTTCTGCCTACGATCCTAGTCGGGGAAGTCGACTGCATGAAGCATTTTAGATAGAGATTCGCCGACGGTTTAAGCTTGTTCCTCCAACTTTTTGATACAGTCAGTGTGAACCTTGGGCGGCCAAGCACCGGAAGGAATATTGGCCGGCAATTTCCGCCATCATCAGAGCTTCAAGCAGATTCGGATGGGGTCGAATAATTATTTTACAAAGAAAACAGTGAGCTGGCACAAACCTTAGTCGTCCAAATGTATCTTGAGGTGTGTAATATTCCGTGTTAGGGTACGGTACTAAAATGTAGGCACTCGGTGCTTCATTGTAGCCATCAGGGGAGAAGCTGAAATTAGAGCGAAATTGGCCGGTTTATATTAGCTTTCAACGCGAGTTTCCTGAACACTCAGAAATTCGTACAATTGTCCTATAAATGCTCAAAAAATCTAGCGATTAATTGTGCCTTTCTTTCCGAGAACTGATTTGGTCCCGGCCTCCGACTGCCTAAATTATCAAGTCACTGCTTGCAGCAAACATGCTTTGTTGTTATTTACATTGGGTAGACAACGTCGGGGGGGGGGGGAGGCAATTACCAGGTTTACGATTAAGCCTGGAGGTTATGGCTGCCTGTGCCTACCGTACCTCCCAATCGAAAGTGTGAATGTGAGAGCGAGTCACTCAGATAAAAGCCAGGCTCATCTTCTCCCACAACTTCAGCGGGACATTTTTTGAAGACTCAGCAACAGTGCAATTGAATAATAGTCGAAGCTGGTTGAATCCAATCCAGTCAAAGGCAGTTGGCAAGATAAATCCCTATGACTAGTAGGATTAATACGCCTGGCTAGGACGGAATTTCGCGATCCTAAGCAGGCGCGCAGCGCCTTTTCATTAAAGGTATCAGTGGTTCCATTTCGATTTTTTTCGCCATTTTCCTACTATTTAGCACCCTTGCTACCATTTTGGGCAGGGTACCAAATTATCGTGCCAACTGCCTTTGAACTTCTCTTGCACAAAAAGAAAACAGACCTGTATGAATTGTTGTTGTAGGTGAGAAGAGTGGTGACGAATGACTCAACGTCCTTAACGATAAATCTTCAAGGCACGTTTGTTCATCGCATGAACAAAGCCACTTTAACCCCTGCGTTTTCGTCTACCCCTGGGTCCTTCTGATTGATGTACCTCTCCATCTATGTAATTTTGTAAAGGAGAGGTACATATCACTGTGGAAGACCCAGTGACACGCCCAGCCCAGACGACCAACGTGGAATCACACTTAATTTTAAGTGAACTCACTGCAAAAAGAGGATTGGTGGTCATCTCGAAGGCGACAGCGATGTCTCCTTTGAATATTCTTTCTCCTGTACAAGGCGTAGTGGACTGCGGTGTAGTTAGTCTCGTTGACGAAGTTGGAGCAGCGTAGGTGGAGGTAGAGGTTGGCGCCCCGGATGAAGTGCTTGTCGTTGCAGTTGTCGGAGCGACTGAAGATGTAGGAAGCACTGAAGACGTTTTTAAAGTCGTGAAAGGCGTCTCAGTTGGTATTGCCGTTGAGCGAGAAGGCGTAATCGTCTCGACTGACGTGGGAAAGGATGGCGTTGACGGGGAGGTAGAGATGGACGGAGTAGTGCCCGCTGGCGTGGTAAGGGTGCTCATCATTGTGGAGGCAACAGAAGAGGTCGTGCTAGCTGTTGGTGTGGTAAGAGCGGGGGTAGAAGGCCGATTAGATGTCGTTGAAGTTAGAGTGGAGCTTGGAGTAGAAGTGACTGCCGTTCGAGCTTTTGTTGTGGTGAGAAAAGGGGTAGATGGCTGCGTGGGTGTTGCTGAAGGTGGTGTGGAGGTTGGAATAGAAGTGACTGTCGACGTCACTGTTGTGGCGTTTGCAACGGTAGAAGGTCCTGTAGAAGATGTTGATGGAGTAGGAGTAGGAGGAGGACTTGCAGTAGTAGACGTCATTTTTTGCGACGTAGTCGCCACCGGTTTCCGGCTGGAAGGTGCAGCTGATGTAGACTGACTTAATTTTGATGAGCTTTTCGTTGGTTGTGTAGGCACAGGCGATTGAGTAGTTACTCTGTGAGTGGTTCGTCGCAAGAGGTGTAGCTGAACTAGTCCTGCTAGTAGTTGGCGATGTATTAGCTGACGAAGTGGAGCTTTGAGTAGAAGTGATTGTTGGGGGTACTGCCGTGGTACTTGCAATGGTAGAACGTCCCGTTGAAGGCAATGATGAGGAAGGGAGAGGGCTTGATGGTGTCATTGTCAAGTACGACGAGGTCGAACTATTTCATTGGAAGTCACAGCAGATGAGGTATAGCGAGCAGCAGTAGTTAAGCGACGGGTAGAAGCTGAACTCAATTTAGCTGTTGGGGAAGTCCTAGGCAGAATTGTCGTAAGGGCAGGTGCGGTGGTCTTCACAGTTACTTGAGACGTCCATAAGTTGTTAGGTGTTGTCTCCATTCGAGATGTGGTCCGTGGTGCTAAGGTTGAAGAGGGTTGCTGGTAGGCGCACGGATCAGTGCTTGGACCTGAATCGATCAAGATTAGCAAAGGAACAGACTTGGACTGAAGCATAACTGACTGGAAACGCTAGCGACTGTAGCGCTGTTGACGACCTTGGTATCGCTGTCGAGTTTGGACTGGATATCCTTGTATGAAGGTAACGAAGCGAGGGTTTCATCGCCGTACACTACTCCATAGGCAAAACTCACGATCGTGTTGTTCTTTCCTTTACTGGAAAAGAGTGTTTCAGTCAGTTAGTTGCGCTAGATTTAGTAGAAGCTCCTTATTCCTCAGCTACACACAGTAGTTAAGATAATTTGCTTTCGGTTCAAAATGAAATGCCGATGAAAATACAAAGGAAATTGTCGAAAACAGGGCAAACGAAGGCACGTGCCAGCGCTAGGGAACATGCTTTGCTGAATTCGACCAACCCTCCGTTCCTCGAAGTTTCTCCGGTACAATTCCCCTCCTTCACAACAGACTGATTATCTTATCGAACGTCCCCGAAAAACTAGCCGTCGAGCGAGAAGGGGGAGGGGAACATGTGGAAAGAGGATAGGTGATACCTTACCTCAACCAATATTAGGTTGGCTAATAAGTAATGGCCGTTTTTTTCAATTGAAAAATTTGTTCGAAAAGTGAAACGTTTTGCAAGCAAGTTATATATCATCTGATAGGAAACTTCTCGTAGTATAAGAATATCAAAAAAGCTTTGGTTGAGGATATAGTTTTTGTGAATTTTTTAGTCGTTGAAGTTGGAAGTGAAGTCGGCGAAAATTAGCATCTTCGACAACTGCCTCTATTTAGAAATTTCATGCTAATAGTTGAATTAATTGAATTTGAATTTGATATTCTAATACTACGAGAAGTTTGCTATTAAACGATGTTAAGCTTGCTTGCAAAACTTTTCACTTTTGAAACAAATTTTTCAATTGAAAAAAACGGCCATTACTTATTAGCCAGCCCACTAGCAGTTATTAGCCAGCCCACTAGCAGTGGGCTGGCTAATAAGTAATGGCCGTTTTTTTCAATCGAAAAATTTGTTCCAAAAGTAAAACGTTTTGCAAGCAAGCTTAATATCGTTTAATAGCAAACTTCTCGTAGTATTAGAATATCAAATTCAATTCAATTAATTCAACTATTAGCATGAAATTTCAGGTGGAACAGACGTGAGCCTGCCCAATATTGGCAAGGTGAAGGTTGCCAACTTTGAAATTCTTGAAATTAGCGTCCTATTGAGATTCCCTTGCTGAGACTTCTACCTCAACCTTTTCCGAATGTATGGAGCAGCTTAAGCGATTTTAGCACTTCGAGTAGACGTAAATAGAGGCAGTTGTCGAAGATGCTAATTTTCGCCGACTTCACTTCCAACTTCAACGACTAAAAAATTCACAAAACTATATCCTCAACCAAAGCTTTTTTGATATTCTTATACTACGAGAAGTTTCCTATCAGATGATATATAACTTGCTTGCAAAACGTTTCACTTTTCGAACAAATTTTTCAATTGAAAAAAACGGCCATTACTTATTAGCCAACCTAATACAAAAAATTTAAGTATCACTGCGCCGCCAAACTTGGAGAAAGGTCTAGCGCACCTGGAACTGGGAAAATCAACAACCGAAATAGGGCCTTCCAGGCGAAATACAACCGCCTCTCCCCTTCAGCGGCCAAACACCACCTCCGTTAGGGATGCGCAACGACAGAAGTGGTTGAAAATCTGTGACTTGAAGCTGCGCGGCTACAGGCGACATAACGCAATTATCGGCCGTGTCAGGAGGTATGGAATGCGCCCACCTGCGGCGTTTTCACCACTGATCTTCTCCAGTCGATCACTGACCGATCACTATTGGTAGGAAAGAGGGCCGAGGGCGAACTCATTCCGCCCCTCTCGACAGCGCCTCGACTGATTGCCACGATATCGGCTACACCTCCCCGCCGCTGATTGTAAGGATAGGGCGCAAATGGAAGAAGTACAACGGAGTGCACAGTGGTCCGTGCAGGCGAAGACAGCGGATAGAAGGCGAAGCAACGGATAGAAGGCGTTCAATCGGTTCTGTGGGATTTTACTTAGAGCACCCTCCACCCGTAACACTCCACATCGGCTGCTCAGGATGCTGTTATTATTCACACAAGCGAATCGTACACACCGTCAACTAAATTTTTTGCAAGGGATTTCCATCTTCCTGTCCGGCTCAGGATTTTTATCTTCCCCGATCCTCGGACGAGCACCGGTTAATTCATGAATAGTGCGAAATATTGAAGGAAACACGGACGTTAGTTCTCATGGAAAACGGTCAGCAAAAATCATGTGGATTTTTGTTTCCGATGAAAGGTTTGCTAAAAATACCAACTGATCACCTCAGTTGAGCTACTTGTACGGATGCCATGGTACCTTTCGAAAATGCTGCGAAGGAGGAGATCTTGGTGGAATCATCTGACATCAAGGCAGCGGTCAACTGAAGTATTTCTCTTTATAAATCATTAACATAAACCTAACAGAAAAAAAGAATCTCTACCGTTGCCGAAATATTACGCACGGCTGACTGATATTGAGATGAAGTGGTATTGGAGAATCGCTCATCCCATGACATGAAGCTTGGCTACAAAGTAACAAATTCAGTGCTAGCCATACTTAGTTACAGTTTTGTTGCTGCTGATCTGAGGCGTGTTGGAGGGTCTGGGTTTGGCGGGGCGCCAGCCCAGCCTCGCTCTGCCCTCTACACCAGCAATGAAGCAGGAAGGCATCAACAGTTGGTGGGGAACGGGCTGGCGCTGCCCTAACCTAGCCACTCGGCACGAGCATCCGCAGCAAACAAGGAAAGCGTCCGCGTCCGCGTTATCCGACGTGCAGAAACCTTTCCTCGCCTTAAATGGTGCAATCCTAAACTGCTGAGCAAGTCCCACCTCAGCAACTCGCAAGTGTTTGATATAAGCGCCACAGCTTAGCAACGATGGCCCAGCTCTTCTTTGAGAGCTGGGTCCACCTTTATCACTTCATTTCACCCCATCACTATTCAGAGATGGGGTCTTGATCACTTCCATATTCTCTGGAGACACCATGGTCTGCTTCTCTTTCTTTTAGTCCTTAGTTCTTTTAGTCCTTAGTTCTTTCTTCTCTCATTATCTCTGCACGATATGCTCTTATAACGCTTGGAGCCGACAGGGATGGTTCAGAAACAAAAGAGAATGTGGTGAATGAGCAGCTGAATTGCCAGAAAGAAGGGAACAGTGGAAACACTTCAGATGAAACCCCACTGGTGCTGCGAAGAGTCATTGAGCGAGGAAAAGAAAAGCAGGTGGCCAAGGGGTAAACGAGTACATAGAAAGAGAGAGAGAGAGAGAGAGAGAGAGCGTACTACAACACACTGGATTGGAGAATGAAAGGAACAAGGCGAAAGCCGACCACTCAAGGCGGAGAAAGGCGGAGGTTATGCTTCATTGGAGGGCCTACGCTTTACGGGCCCCTGCGTGCCTTGCCACCTAGTTTCGAGCCGCGGACTTGGTACATCAATTGCGACTGCACACTGGGCCACCTTGCACAAAGGGGAATGCCACACATAAGGACAATAACGAGCTGCTTCTTCGACGGTATGAGGTCTCTTAAGAATGAAGAAGGAATGAGTGAATGAGATCAGGTAATGGATTACCTGAATTCCTGTTCGAACACTGAATAACTCGGCGTTGGCTCCGCTGCATACACATGGTTGTGTCTCTATAAAAAGAAAAGTTATATTCAATCCCGGAAACTAAACAGCTAGCAATTTACAGATTTATTTCAGTGATCAATATGAAACCTTAGCTTCTGAAGGGGTGCTTCTCTTCTGAACAACTTAGCCGAGATCCGTTCATTATTATACTTCAAGTCATAGATAGTTCAGTTTATAGTTATAGACTTAGAAAGAAACTGTTCTGGCCATGTAAGAAGGAAACTGTTCTGGCCATGTACGAGGCGAATGGGGGACAGGAATCTGAGGTTTCTCAGGGACAGCCTCCTATCAATATTGGCTCCGCAGTAATTCTAGATATTCTATAACTTCGAGGGTGCTCAATAGAGCCCCGTATCCGACAAGGCTCCTGACTTCAAGGAGGGCAACAATTGAGGGAAGCTCACCTGACAAAGAACTGTAGCGACATCTGGACATAATCATATACAAAACAAGGTTAACATTGAAGGTAACATTGGCGACTATACGCTCAAATTGTTTCAAAAACGACGAACCCACTTCCACTTTCAACTCCAAATACAATAGCGAGAATGGTCCCGACAGTGCCGATAGTAAGTCCAGTTATAAATACTAGTAATGACCATAGCTCCGGTCGCTTCATACGAAGAAGGTGAGTTCAAATGTCGCCGCAGCTTATCAGTCTCTTGCCGTTTTTGATAACGATATCCCCCTTTCTCTGGTTTATCTCGGATACAACTGACAGAGAGAAAATTCCTTTCAGAATTGGCCCTCCTCAATCAGGCAATCCTGCTTGACAGCCATTCTTCGCTTCTACTTAATGTAACG